CTGGAGAGCACAGAGCATGTGGGTCTTGCATGACCACAGTTTGTGGGCCACTGGGAAAGGACAAAGCAGAATACGGGGTGAGTCTGATACAGTGGGAAGGGTCCATCATGAAGAAGACCTGTGGCCAGGATTGCTTCCATTTCTACGCCTTGCCCTCTAGACTCAGTCTAACTAAAGACTAAAACTAACCTATTAATGCAAGTTAATGTGACGAGTATGGCAGCTCCAGTTACGAAGAACAGAAATTATGGCACTGTGTTACCTAAAGACAAAACACCTACCCTGTCAATAGTTAAACATCAATCAGTATTGTGAGGAATTGTTTATATTTGAGGAGAATAAATGGGAAAATGATTCATAAAACAAGCCTAAAACATTTCTAAGACATCAAATGGCATGAAGTAAACTTACAACAGTATCTTCGAGGTGTGATTAAAATATTAAAAGTGAATGACACCGATATAACTAAAGAGGAGATGAAAGATAACTTACAGGAGCATGCTGGGATGGGAAGAGGGTATGCCAAAGGCAGGTGGAAATGGGGAGCTGGAGAGAAGAATGAATATTTTAAATGCAATAGTGTTTGTTCTTCCTTAGCAGCAATAAAGAACTGAATCTCCAGTGAAGGAAATCAGAATCAATGTTATAATGTGCAAAGTTAATAAGTTTACATAGATGGAGAAGGAAGGGAAAGAGCTAAGAAAAGAATCAGAAAGAAGAAAATGATAATTGGGTGTAAGACAGAATAAAACATACTAGTAAATGTCATTTTAAAAGAATAAACAAGAATAACACAGGGAACTAATTGGATAAAATAACAAAAATGAATACAAAAAGAACTATGACTATGAGTTTTCTGAGCAATTATTATGTAATAAATGCCTTTTCACTGTTTTTTTTTTAGTAGTAGCTGCTTTATATACATTAATTCTTTAATTTTCAGGAAAGCACAAAGTAGTGGGCATCATTTTAGAAATGAAGAAATGAAATCTAAATAATATAACAGGAAAACTTATTTTCAGGTTAGTAAACCTGAATCAACAGACTTTAATTTTTCAGCAGATCACGCGAATACACCAACAAACAAACTCCTAGCAGTTGTGTACTTATTTCAAAAATGGGGAAGATATTACAGGGATCTAGGCAGTGAAACACACACACACACACACACACACACACGAAAAATTAGTTTTTTTCATTTTGCCAGTGCAAAATGGTGGTGAATGCATAAGAGCAATGAATCAATATCTATGGTGTTTTAAAGAAGAAAGTTTATTTCATCTACATTATCTAGTCAAATAGTCAACATACACACAGACAACAAAATTTATGTCAGATACACAGAGGTCAAGAATTGAACAACCACATAGAATCCTGAAAAACTGCTGGAAGAAGAATTCTAGCTTTACAATAACTCAGTTAAAAATAGTAACAAAAACAAAATTTAGTAAAATAGTGATATAGAAAGTTACCATATGTAAATCAACTCTTTTCATATGTACAAACAATGACCAGTTAATAGATATAATTGAAGAGAAGACCCCACTTATAATAGTAACACAAAATAAAGTAAGTAGGAATATGTTTGATATGAAGCATGCAAAACCTATGTGAGGAAACCTAAAAACACTGCTGAAAGACCACAAAGCAGACTTGAACAAGTGAAAAGACACAGCATGTTCTTGGATAGAAGACTGAACACTGTAACTGGCCTGGGGAAGATGGAAAGAGCAGGTCTGAAAGGGGATCAGTCAGGGTTCTACTTTGGTCATGCTGAGACTGGCCCCCTGCAGGAGGCCACATATGCATCAGATAGACCAGGATGGAATGCCATGAAAGCTATGACTTTGGGAGCACTTCACATATACCACTGAGCTACAGTGTGTATACGGAGAAAAGTACCTAGGACAGATACCTGGACATTCCAACATTTATAGATTAGCTAGGAGTCGAGACCCATCGCAGAAGACCTACACGGGCAGTGACAAGGAGGAAAAGCCATGAATGTTAGATACCCTAGAAGTCAAAGACAAGTCATTCATGGAGGGAATGTTCTTCCTGTATTTCCAGTGCTTAGTCCATCGTAAGAATTCAGAAAATATGTGTTAAGTGAATAAAAGTATGAATAAATCAATGAAGGGATGCCTGAGTAGCTCAGTTGGTTGAACATCCAACTCTTGATTTCGGCTCAGGTCATGATCACAGGGTCGTGGGATCAAGGCCCAGTCAGGCTCCATGCTGAGGGCAGACTCTGCTTAAGATTCTCTCTCTCTCTCCTTCTGCCTCTCTCCCCAGATCATTCTCACTCTCTCAGTCTCTAATTAATTAAAAAAAGTCAATGAAGAAATAAGTCTTTTTCTAGAAAAAATATTGTTAAAATAAGAACCCAAGAGATAGATGAAAACAAAACTTTTAGATGAATCTTGCATGTGTATTATATGGGTATTAAATATATGTGTGTGTGTGAACATAACAAAAATAATCCTAAATTCTTTTAATGTTTATTTTTGAGACAGAGAGAGAGAGACAGAATGTGAGCAGGGGAGGAGCAGACAGAGAGGGGGACACAAAATCCGAAGCAGGCTCCAGGCTCTGAGCTGTCAGCACAAAGCCTGATGCGGGGCTTGAACTCACAAACCATAAGATCATGACCTGAGTCAAAATCAGATGCTTAATTGACTGAGCCATCCAGGTGCCCCAATTCTAAATTCTAATTAAAGCTCCAAATATAGCTTTATGTTAAAAGAATAATACAAGAATAACACCATATGACCACTTCTCTAATAGTACCAAAATATCTAGTAAAATATTCGGTTCAATGTGCACTGAATTGCCACAACAGAAATGGAAAGGTATTAAACGTTCATTAACAAAATGTTGAACCCTAAGAATACGAATGTGGACACATTGGTTTTGGATAAGGCCTTTAAGACCATGCAATTCTCTCCCCTTGTCCCCAGATGGGCATCAGAACATGCTCTTATCCCCAGGAATTGGTGTCTTCTTCCAACTTGTCATCAAATCCTCTTTCAACAAACAGTTGAACCTAGAACCTCCAATGATCCTAGACATCTTCAAACGATTGCTTCACAATCAGCTAGAAGCCTGATATAAGTTCCTGTCTTATTTGACAATTTTCCAAAAATTTGTAGGGTTAAAATTAGACCTTCCTTTAATATTTAAAATTTAAAATTAGACCTTTATTATAATAATTATTTAGTCTCTCTATGATGATTTTCATACCTGCAGCCATCAGAGTGACTTTCATGATGTCAGTTATGTTCTTGACCATATTTAATGCTGCTGAATTGATTCATTTCTGTGTGCAAATCTGTTATATCTTTAGAGCAGTCATCAATGCTTCTTGCTCTTCTTAAAATCTAGCCTTTTCCTCTGCAGAGGTTAAACTAGTTCATTCAGACCAATCAACCAACAACTAGTTTTTCAGCCAGTCCTAAATAAGACTAAAGAACATGTATGCTCCTTCCTGGATATGATTGAATGTATCTTTCCATGTGCCTTCTAATGAAGCTTGGCAACTTCCTTAAACTGTTGAGCAACCAAATAAAATCAGTTTTCATACACATTATAGCTAAAATGATATCTCATGTGTAAATTATAAACAATGATCGTTTCTTACTAGCTTATTGTATCTGTACCTTTTCCCTGCTTCTTAGACTATTACAAAGTACATTTTTGGTCTTCCCTTACAAGAAATATTCTTGAATCAACTTCACCCTTTGAGCAATAATTTTCTTGTAAATCAGTAGCTTCTTAGTTTTCAGTGACTGTGCAAATGGGGCTTTGAGTTTGTAAAGTCAGCCTGATGTGAGGCTAAAATGTAAACTTGATAAGACTGTGGCTCCTTATGCCAGGAATTATCTCCTCTTTTCACTTAGTAACAATATGATGCTGACCATAGGTGCTTCGACTTTAATCGAATACCTAACCTGCTAGGATAGGTCTTCTAAAAGCTCATGTACCAGATGAGTGGGGGATGTTCACAGGCATTTACGTATAGAATTATAGCTACAGTCTCTGATAACATGGCTTTATAAAGTTAGCTCAAAATAAGGAAAAAATACAAACTTTGCCTTTTGATGTCATGTTATTTCTAAACCATTCTAAGGGGGTAACCACCAGACGCAGGAGCAAAAGCCATGCAGAACTATTTTCTAAATGAAGTGACAGTTTGTTGTGTGGTTGACGGATTGCTCTCTTTTCCTACCAAGCCATTCTCAGTCACTGTAACACCAATTTTTGTAAGTTTTTTGTTTGTTTGCTTTTTCAGCATCCTCTCTAAACATAATACATCTTATTTTTCACTTCAGGGATGTAAACTGTTTACTGCATGGGAAAGCTCTTATGTGACATTTTTAAAAGGTCATTAAATGCCTTCCATATGAAGAATTTTTTCCAGGCAATGCACAATGTGGGCTGGTAGAAGCTGTTCCTAAACTCTGGAAATGAGCTCAGTGCTGTAGAACAGACAGAATGTCCGCCACAGGAAATGGCTCCATGAGTTAAATAAGAGCATGAAAAAAAATCATGGAGGTATGATCGACAACTCCAAATTACAAATGACATTGTTTTCAAATCTCATGCAAAAATGGAGTTAAGGGAAAATGATAAATTAATGAGATTTAACCTTATGCGTTTTACGAAGGGCAATTTCATTACTTCAAAATCCCTTGCTATATATTATATCTACAATTAATTATGAACATGTATATGGATTACCCATTCTGCAATCACCAATCATCTGAATCAAATTTTATGAAATGGAACATTAAATATGTGAAAAATTGTTTAAATAAGCTAAGTAAATTTTAGTTAAATATATGTTGACTGCCATAAAATTTGTATAAATGCTAAAAGCATAGTTTAAATGTAATTATAATTCTTCAGATTGGCTTGCTTGTCATATTAGCTCTGAGAAAAACATATTTCTTAAAACCACAAAGAAAATAATTCTATCAAAGAGAAAATGATTTATTTACCTGGATCTTCTATAGTTAAGTTCTTTATTAACCATTGAACAATGTCTGACCCTAGAAAAAGAAAACAGAGAAACAAATATTTGTGAACATTTGTTTATATATGTTAACTTTAAGAACTCACAACTTTTGTCGCTCGTGTTAGTTAGAATGTTTCTTTTTTAGTTTATGTTTTTGCACACACACACATATATATATATATATAAAATAGTACAGGTGACACACACGACATTACAGTAGTTTCAGGTGTACAACATAGTGACTCAAGAAGTCCACGTATCATGGCGCGCTGCTCACTGCGAGCGTAGCTACCATCTGTCAGCTGATAACACTATTACAATACCAGTGACTATATTCCCAAGGCAATACTTTTTATCCCCATGACTTATTTCTTGTATAACCAGAAGTCTTCAGCTCCTACTACCCTTCACCCGTTTTGCCCACCCCCCGTCCCCCTCCCCTCTGGCAACCACCAGTTTGTTCTCTGTGTATTTCTCTGAGTCTGTTTCTGCTAGGTTTGTTTTGTTTTTTAAGATTCCACATATAACATGAAATCATATGGCCTTTGTATTCCTCTGTTTGGCTTATTTCATTTAGTGTAATACTCCCATGGAAGTCCACCCACACTCAAATGGCAAGACTGAGCATTTCTAATTGTTAGGATAACATTAAAGATCGGCCACATATGGAGTACTGAAAACAGAATGTGAATACATAGTTTGTCTCCAATGAGCCCAGATGAAAACTAGTAAATTATTTAATATGAAATATTTAAGCACAAAGGTTTAATATACCTGTAGTGGATAAAATGATTCATTCATTTGTTCATTGAATAAATGCTTATTGAATGCCCACTATGGGTTTTTTCGTCTTTTTAAAAAATTTTCTTATCATATTCTTGTTAGTTAACATAATGCAATACTGGTTTCAGGAGTAGGATTCAGTGATTCATCACTGACATAGCAGCACCCATCTAGCCTATCCCCACACACCTCCCTCCATCAGCTCATCTCTAGGCTCCATCAGTTTGTTCTCTATCAGTAAGAATCTCATATAGTTTGTTTCCCTCGCTCTTTGTTCCTTCTTCTCTCCATATGTTCATCTGTTTCGTTTCTTAAATTTCACATTATGTGTGAAATCATATGCTATTTGTCTCTCTCTGACTTATTTTGTTAGCACAATACACTCTAGCTCCATCCATGTTGTTGCAAATAAATGCCCATTATGCTTGAAGCACAATCCTTAGCATGTCATAACCAATATTTTATAAGATGATCCCTTGTATCTATTCTCAAGCTAGACCAAATTTGTTGTTAGCTTTTGAACACTCCTGTGTGTTTCGAGTCTCCATGTCTTTATAGTATACTATTCTCTTTGACAGAAATGTCTTACCACTATTTTCAAGACACACAAGACTCATTTACAATAGAACTTTCCTTGACCATCACTTTTGTTCACTGAGTTTACAACAACCTCCACTGAAATTCACTGGTATCTGTGTAGTCTTGTAGTATAGATCACACAGTGTTGCAACCGTTTATTTAAATAACACCCTCAAGCAAGTACCCTGAAGTGGGGTACCATATTCATCTTTCTATATTCAGAACATAGCAAGTGGTTGATAATGTGGGATGAATAAAAACACGAGTACATACATGTTTTCACTTCTTACAGAAGAAATGTGTGAGGGTCTGTAGAAAACATAATGTTTGAGCTAGATTTTGATATATGATAGATAATACTTAGTTGCTGGAGGCCTATGTCAAAGTTAAAAAGGGGAAAATAGTCCATAAAAATGATTTAAGGTATTCTTTCTATATACTCCATGCTGGGAAAAGTAGGGACTTGACACTAATTAAAAGTATTCACAATGTATTCAGCACATCTTGAATTCCAGGCTAAAAAATTAGGATTTTTTCCCTCTAAGTCAGGCAGAGAAAGGGAGACATATATGTTCTGTTGTGTTTGTTTTGAGCAGAAGAATGACTTTATCAAAATAAGTTTAAGGAATTTGATTGGCAATCCATAGGGAGTGCCTTGGGCAAGTCAAATAGAAAGCAGGGCAACCAATATTTCTACTGGTTGAGATCCAGGATTGAAAAGAAAAGTAGGAAGAAGACTTGATCTACCTGAAATATTAATTTCTATTTAAATCTGGCTTTTCACATCATTCATTTCTACATAAAACAGCAAAAAATACGTAAGAAATATGTATGTTTGTATACATAGTAAGCTGCATCTGGGCTGCAAGAATGCAATTTCATCTGAGCTGAGATTCCAATTCTACTGCTCTTGGGGATGGGCCTCAGCTGCACCTGACATGTGTTCATACGCACATGAGTGACATTAACAATGGCTAAATAATTCTTGCTGCTTGATGCAAAATAGCTCAAAGCCATCTTCGAAATAAATTTGGGGGAGCCTGGCCAGCTCAGTCAGTAGAGCATGCAACTCTTGATCTCGAGGTTATGAGTTCAAGCCTCACTTTGGGTGTAGAGACTACTTTAGATTTTTTTTGGGTTTTATTTATTTCGGAGAGAGACAACATGAGTAGGGGAGAGTCAGAGAGAGAGAGAGGGAGGCACAGAATCTGAAACAGGCTCCAGGCTCTGAGCTGTCAGCACAGAGCCCACCTTGGGGCTTGAACCCACGAGCTGTGAGATCATCACCTGAGCCAAAGTCGGACGCTTAACTGACTAAGCCCAGTTATTTTAAAAAGTTATTTTAAAAGACTTCACGTGTTGAATCTAACTTGTATTATTTTATATCTGTTTTGTTTACAACTGTCATTGATTTCAATACATGTGAGAATATGGAGTCACCTAGATCCTGAAGGAAGAAAGGGGAGCCACTCACAAGAACACAGGTATTTCAGAGTAGTACATTACGCCTTATAACCTAAATTATCTTGAGAGATGGTCATCCCTTTAAAAAAGAGGAGGACTCCGTTTTACAAATACGTATGTATTGGTAGTTGACAAATGCAGAAATCCAGGTACTCAGATCTTATGCACTATCTCTAGGTAACTTGCTCACTTTCCACATTTGAGCATCTACTTGGGGAACATATGTGAGCAGCTCCTGGACTTTTTCCATTCTTTTGAAGAGAGCCAAACATTGGTTCCAAGACTATAATTTTCTTTTAGTGTGAAAAATGATTTAAAAATGCTTTTAGAAGGAGTTTTTTTTTTAACTTTTCTTCTTTTTTTTCTGAGCAGAAAGAAATACAAAGGAGCCTAATTTGAAAATACATTTAATTCAGGAAACAGGAAACTTTCTTTCCTAGCCTAGATTTGAGCACTTCTGTTATGGTCATATTCTCTGCTCAGCTCTGAAAGGGATGATTGGATCACTTCTCAATATCACTTAGTAGGTGCTAGAGTGGTTTTATTGTTGTGTGGTCACTCCAATATATTTATGGGTTTAAGCTGGAATATTACAAATTATTTTATTATTAAATGTATACCCAAACTCACCATATTCACCTATTCCGCATCTATGAGAGCAAGATCTTAACTCTGAGAGAAAGGTAGAGACACACAGAGAGAAAAAAAATCCAGCATCATGACACAAAAGGAAGACTGAAAGAGAAATGTGGTGTCACAGTCACACTCAATACACAGTATTGAGTACTACAATTCAAATTTAAAAGAGTGCATTACAACCAGGAGAGATGTAGGAAAGAATGGCACATTTCTAGCAATGTCTCAGCCTTATGTCTAATGAATAAATGAACACATATGTATAATGTATATATCCAGAGTATTTTAGCATTCCATGCATCTTTATTCTCAGTGCCTCACGGTAACACGAAGAATTGTTTTTCTTTTAAAAAAAATGGCAAAGAGCTATTGAATAGCCATACTGTGAAACTAGCTAATAGATAAACAATATCATAAACCCCAAGAAATAAAAGAAATACCTCTATGACTCTAACTACTAGGAACTTTAGCCCTGAGCAGTATCTATCATTGCTTTGAATTCTTGGAGGTTACTCTTGTAACATTTAGAGTTACAGAATTATGTGCTTCCTCTACTTAGCAGAAGTACTAGAGGTTTTCTTTTTGTGTAATCCCAGTAATCTACGACTCGAAAGCCAGACTGTTTCTCATGCACTGCTCATAGTCGCCCACATGCTGTATTGAGTCTTACTTCCATGACTTTGATGGCGCTCTTCCATCTCCATCTCTTTTTCCTTTGGCCAGTTCCAACTCAGTCCATAAAGTTCAGATCACACATCACATTAATGATTCCAGGAAGTCTACTCTACCCACCCCACCTGCAGGGGGCTGTTACTCATCTTTGGATCCCAAACATCCAAACCAGTGCCTCACATGTAAAAGATGATCAGTAATTGTTAAAAGAATGGATTAAATGATAGTAAGGTTCCCTCTCCAGATCATTCTCTAAGAAAGTTTACAAAAGAATGGCATCTGTCACACAAAGACTATTAGGCTGGCAGACAATGTTCAGCTACCATACTCACTTTTCACAGTGATACCTTTCCCATTTCAAGGATACCACTTTACCACTCCACCCATCATTAAAGCAAAACAATGTAAGACATTTATACATCAGTATTATTTCCTCACCCAGGCGATGGACCCGAGTGGAGGGGGTTCCCCAATTCTGCTCTGCTGCAGTGACAAGACCTGAGCCAAGCCCTGTCCTGCACTGCATTACCTCCATCACAGCCATGTTCCCTCTACTGATCAGAGCACACTCTCAGCTACAAGTGTCAACTACAGCTATCTGTAACCTGAACCTGAACGGGAGGTTCACAAAGAGGAAAATATTGTGAAACATTTGCACATATATATATGAGGACTTTGTAAGCAACCAAAATGTTACACTTTTGGTTTGTTTCCTTTACAAAAACACTCTTTTCTCAAGTTCTGCTAAAGCTATTAATGAAAATGCTAGCTCTTAAACAGTGGAAGAGGCCCAAATATTCCTTTTCAGTATTTCTCTTTCAGGAAAATAAACAGGCTCTTTGCTTGGGGTAGAGCTCCTGGATTGTTTTTCAAGCAGATATTTAATCAAGATCATGACAA